AAAATGTAATATTATATGTATATATATATATATATATATATATATATATATTATACCTGTATATCGAAACTTTTTTGTAAAGAAATTCATGTCTGGAAATTCTGTCTGGGGATTCATCGTTCTTGTATCTATTACTCTGAGTTTGAGTGTTAGTTAAGCCAGTGTGGATGATGGGTCTCTGCATCTGTATGTCTGCGGCTGATGATAATGTATACATGTCTTACCAGCATGGCTTCTGGATGAGCGATCGTCTGCTTTTGGAGGCCCGGTGGGCGGCGGGGAGGGAGCAGGAATTCTTGAACACGTTATTTCATCTTCAGCCAGACTGAATCCGTCCTGACACACACACCGATAACTCCCCACCGTATTCACACACTTCTGTGAGCAGCGATGACCTTCCTTACACTCATCCACATCTGACAGAGAAAAACGGCTTTTGAAATATGTTATGATAAAATCTTCAGTATTTTTTCCCCCAAAGCCTCCTTATAATGATAGTAAAGCTTTCTTGCACCAAACCTTCAAAAGGAAGTTTCCTTTTCAACCCTTCAAACCGCCTTTTCACAGCTTTTTATATTTATTAAAATTGTTAAATTATTTATATATTTATTTATTAACATTTTATAGAATTTGTATTACATTTTATATTGTTTTATAAATAATAAAAGAACAAGAAAAGTCCTGTTTTAATAATAGTAAATACTATTTTTATAAATAGCTTTTAAAATGTTATATATAATATTCAAAAACATAAAAATATATAAAATAATTATATATATATACAATGTTATATACATAATAAATTATTTAACAATAATTTAAATATTCATAATGTACAGGGCTTTTCTTGCTGTTTTACATTTAATTACATATTTATATACAATTATATATATATATATATCTATATATATAATAACATTATATTAATAATAAAAGAGCAAAAAAAAGCCCTTTAAAATAAATGCACATAGCAAAAATAGTCTCAAATTGTGTTTGCATTTATTTGTATATGTATATTTGTTGGGTTTGTCCATGGACATCAATTCTTTGTGTACTCAGTTTATAAAGCATGTGCCATAATCATAACTGTAAATGAACATTTGTGTGTGTTTTCAAGTACCTGTTTGACAGTATGGCCCCGTCCATCCTTTTAGACATGCACAGTGATTAGGCCTTACACAAGAGCCTCCGTTTGCACAAGACTGCTTACACACCGCTAGAGAGAGAGACATATGTAAAAACACACACACACACATGCAGTTATAAATCCAAGAGAAAACACATTTAGGGCTCATGTTATGCAGTATGATGGCCGTTTACCTTGGTTACAGTTGTGTGAATGCATGCGTCGCCATCCCGGACAGCATTCTGGGTAAATGTGTACATTAGGAGCTACTCTGCTCACCTGCCTGTAAGAAACCCTGTAGATTGTCCTGTAAAACACACACAGTCCAGTGAAAGGCTGATACATTATGAAGTATAAGATGCATTTTGATGTGTTTTGTGTGTTCTTACTTGTATGTGCTACACATGCGGTGGTTTTGGCACATGGTGATGTAGGGTTTGTGTACGGGCTGAAGAAATGACTCTGTGCTGTAAGACACACGACGACTCCAGGCATCTCCAACACACACTCTCCTCCTGAAACACACACACACAATTATACACAAACACACTCCTACACACAAACACTGCTGTTGGTAAGATTGTGATGTTTTTGAAAGAAGCCACGTATGCTCACCAAGGCTGCATTTATTTGATAAAAAATACAGTAAAACCTGTACAATAATGAAATATTATAACTGTTTTCTATTTGAATATATTTTCAAATGTAATTTATTCCTGTGATGCAAAGCTGAATTTTCAGCATCATTACTCCAGGCTTCAGTGTCACGTGATCTTCAGAAATCATTCTAATATGCTGATTTGCTGCTCAAGAAACATTTCTATCCATGTTGAAAAAAGTTGTGCTGCTTAATATTTTTGTGGAAACCATGATATACTTTTTTCAGGCTTTTTAATGAATAGAAAGCATTTATTTGAAAGAGAAACATTTTATAACATTATAAATACATTTACTGTCACTTTTGATCAAATTAATGCATCCTTGCTGAATAAAAGTGAAAAACAAAAAACCGGACCCCAAACAGTAAAAAAAATCCTTCAGGTCCCACTAATTCTCTGGTTTTCCAGCATTTTTGTGTATTTGAACCCTTTCCAGCAATGACTGTACAATGCATTTGACAACTGAGGAACTCATATGCAACTATTACAGAAAGTTCAAACGCTCACTGATGCTTCAGAAGGAAACACAATGCATTAAGAGCCAAGAACAAAAGAAGAACAAAATGAAGATGTGTACATGTGTACGTTGTTTTTGCACCAAAAGCTTTGCTGTCCATCAGCTATAATTGGACATGACAGTCTGATCTAATTAGCTGCTATTATATGCGTTGACCTTTAACCTTTTGTTGACCCCTGACCCCTTAGAGCATGAGAATTGACATTTCCTGACACTACAGACGCTACAGTGTGTGCTTTTACCCGTGGTGACCGTGAATCTGAGGCGTGCAGGTCACATGCAGGAGAAACAGAGAGGAGGACAGCAGCACCGCTGTGTACATCTCTCTCTCGGTCTATCTATCTGTCGCTCGCTCAGGTGAGTGTGTCCACCTCAGGTTCATCCAACTCTATCAGCTACCTGAGATAGATAGATAGATAGATAGACAGACAGATGACAGACAGATATATAGAAAGACAGACATTTATAACATTATTTTCAAAGTAATATATGGAATACAATATAATATATATAATACATAACATATAATACTAACAATGATATATGATAATAATAAAATACGTTATGACTCCTTTAAGCTGAAAATGAGCATATCAGAGCACAGTATTATCCTCAGATCTGAGATCTGAGCACTTAGCTGGTATTTAGGAAATGTTATTTATGCAGTAACAGCTGGATCCCATCATACATACAACACACAACTTAAGAATTAAAACATGCATTTATAACCATTCTGCAAAAGCACACAGTTATGACCCGTTTCATGTTTAAGCGAGAGAGAGTTAATGCACTTTTAAAGGCAGAGAATCAGAGGCAATTAATCATCATTAAGAAGTGCATTTGTTGCATTTCACAGTGGATTGAGTTGAACATGCTTCTGAGAAATCTGTGTAAATATAAATACTTGCATGTTTGCATTTATAACAGTACGGATGATTTAAAAGTAAAATCAGTCCGATCATAACTCAATGCAGCTAAAATGTCATTTTTATTTGGATGTAATAAAGACAGATATTTCTGTTTCCGTGAAGATTTTAGATTATACAGGTATTAAATGTTATTTTCATAAAAACATGTTATTAAAAGCATGGCTTTGATTACTGAAACAGCGTTGTCCTGCCACACACATGCATGCACTCTATTTCTTCACAAAGCCAGCTATATTAAAAGTCATTTCTCTTTGTGAGTTGATCTGAATACGAGCATGTACACACACGTGTGTTCTCTCATCTTGAACAGCTTACAGTAATCATCAGGTTATTGCTGCTTTAATGAGGTTTAGAGCGCAGTGTAAAACAGATCTCTGTGTTCCCCAGAAAGCTTTTGACCACAACCCTAAAGCTGCAGCTATTATACCTACCACACCTGTGTGTGTGTGTGTGTGTGTGTGTGAGTAAGAAGCACTTTAAATGAGCTCTCGTCTCATATTTTCTGGAGATTAATGACCCATCTTAATCCTGTTCTTTGTTTAATGATTTTGACCTGTGTGTGGGATGGTAAATCTGCACTTCGTTTTTGGATTTAGCTCATGGGACAGAATGAGTTAGCGAGGAAAACTGGGTGAGTTTATTTTTAGACTTTAGAAAACTTTCCAAATGTGACTAATAAGACCCTGTTATAGTTTTATAGACAGCTTTGTAAGACATCACTGCTCTCGATGTAGGTTGTTTTAAACGAGGCATTAAAATTCAAAGATACTACATTTTGACTACATTTCTGCTAAGGCTCGGTGAAAAGATTCATTCAATACCAAAACATACACTTGTGAAAAAGAAGTGCACTTAATAGTATTGAATGTGTACTTGTAGTGTACTTCAAATCTTACATTTAAAAAAAAACTACGCTTGAAGATAATATAATATATTGCACTAAGTGCTTTACTATATAGTGCATTTTAAATCATTATGTTTTAATAAAGAAGTACATTTGTTTTGATGTCCTGGCTAACATACTAAATACTTAATTATGATTAAGTTTTACTTTATTATTTGATATTGTCATTTAAAGTAACTATACATTTTTAATTTTCTATATTGCAACTTCACCGTTTTAATTTTAGTTATAATAATAAATGCTTGTCAGTACATTTGACAGTAAATAAACTTTAACCATATTTCAAAAACAGTAGACGTAATTATGAAATGACATAAAATATGTACTTAAGTCCTACTTATGTAAAAAAAACCGCTGAAGTTTAAATAACTGCACTTAATATACATTTTAACAAATAAGATGCAATTAAATGTCTAAAAACATTACATTTATTTCACAAGTATACACATTTAAAATGTATTATTTCTCTAGTAAGTGCTCTTTGCTAAAGTGTACTTCATTTACACAAGGGTATCGTGGAGGCAGCGGTCTTAACCGTGGCTTGTGTACTGCAAACACATATTCATCTCTGTGTCTGTCATGAGACTCTGTTCCCCTTTCGGGCTCTGTCTTTACATTTATTTTGAAAGATGAAGCTTGCGATTATGGTAAGGGGTGTTACATTTCCGACGAGTGCTTGCGGTGTTCGGCCAATCACAATGCACTGGGTCAGCTGGCCAATCAGAGCAGACTGCGCTTGTCGGAAGGAGGGACTTTGTAGAAAACGAAGCGTTTGAGAGAGGCGGGGCATAGAGGACCTACAATAATGTACAGTATTTGAAGAATAATGTGTTTTTTGAACATTAAAGCATGTCAACATATTCTGTTACACCAAATACACAAAATAATGATCTTTAAAAAAGCATCATATGACCCCTTTAATCTAATTAAAAATGTATTTAACCAGTAGCTATTTGTGTTTTTAAATGTATTTTTATCTGAGCATTGACATTAGCTTAGCAACATGCTAAAATAAAGGCAGCATTATTATCCTGCATTCTAATCTAAGATGCTTTTTCTCAGAATTCTAATAGACAATCACATGCATCAGTTGTAGACAAAACAATCCCAGAATGCATTGCAACAAGATATGTGGAGGGGGAAAAAAACACCCAAGATGGCAGAGGAAACAAGAATAATTAGTTATGAATACACTTGTGTTTCATTCAGTACCAAAATGAATGGATAAAACCTTAATGTAATTAAAAATGATCCCAGTTTACCCAAAAGGCCTATTTGTATTTGTATGCTTATTTAAGCATTGTGTTGTTAGCTTAGTAACATGCTAACATCACAGAAATTCAGCTGAAATGCGTTGAGTTATGCTGATGTGTGTGTAACTGGCTAATCGTGTGTGATTCCTTATCTTAGGTGTGTTACAGTGTTTAATATCAGATTTGTTAAGATAACAACACTTTCCGCAGCATTGGTGAGGCTTGACATCTCAGCCAAAGGATTGTGGGTCAGATAATGTTTTCACTTGTCTGTTTTGAGTCGGCCGGCCCACCGCAGAGCGTACGACACCACAATAAGGCAGTAAAGTGGTTTAGGACTTCTGGATGACTTTCATACACATCTCCTGCCAAACGCTTAATGGTTTCTACAGGTCTGTACCTACAGGCTGTTTCAGTTGCTGACGCTGTATATGTGTGCGTCTCCCACAATTCATCTGATCACCATCATATGTAAACACTTACCACGTGTCGTATGTAAATGCTGCCAGATCTCTGACTCACGCTCTCTGAAAAGCAGTGTGTGTAACAAATTGTGCATCTTGTAATTGTGCTGTGATGCAGCAACACCAATAGATTTACACTAAATGAGTCTTTCAAGCAAGATGAGGAATGATAATTAGCTATTAAAGGACTAGTTCACCCAAAAATGAACATTTGCTGAAAATGAACTCATCCTTAGGGTATCTAAGATGCAGATGAGTTTGTTTCTTCATTGGATTTAGAGAAATTCAGCATTGCATCACTTGCTCACCAATGGATCCTCTGCAGTGAATGGGTGCCATCAGAATGAGAGTCCAAACAGCTGATAAAAACATCACAATAATCCACACCACTCCAGTCCATCAGTTAACATCTTGTGAAGGGAAAAGCTGCGTTTTTGTAACAAACAAATCTATCATTAAAGCATTTTAACCCTTGCTTCTGGACAAAATACAAGTCCATAATCATTAATAATGCTTCCACCAGTGAAAAAGTCCATTCACTGTTGTCCTCTCACATCAAAATGCACTGACATATTTGTTTAGGACTGTTTTGGACTATTTTGACTTGTTTGATCTGTGCGTATTTCTCTCCTGATCCACACGAGAAGACTTTTTCAATGAAAGAAGCAATATTATGGAGGAGGATTTGTATTTTTGCTGGAAGCAAAGTTAAAAAAGTCTTAATAATGGATTTGTTTCTTACAAACATGCAGCTTTACAAGACGTTAATTGATGGACTGGAGTGGATTACTTGTGGATTATTGTGATGTTTTTATCAGCTGTTTGGACTCTCATTCTGACGGCACCCATTCACCGCAGAGGATCCACTGGTGAGCAAGTGATGTAATGCTATATTTCTCCAAATCTGTTCTGATGAAGAGACATCTTGAATGGCCTGAAGATGAGCAAATTTCCATTGTTGGGTGAACTATTCCTTTAAGGGAGAATAAAGAATATATATATATAAATAATGGTGCAAACTTCCAGCATTTCCATCAACATCATTAAATCACAATAACAGAGCAACAAGGGTACAGTGCAAAAAAGTGCAAAAAAGTCTTGTTTTCCAGTACAAATATCTAAACATTCTTAAATCAAGATTAATTTACCTTAGAAGCAAAATGACATATTGTTTTCTGACAAATGTATCAAAATTAAGTGAGTTTATGCTTAAAAACAAGAACAAACGGTGTAAGCTGCAGATATTTTTCTTCTTTTAAACAAATTCACTGAAGTTTTGATATTTAATTTTCTTTCTCGTGTAAATGCATCTTGTTTTAGGAATTTTCAGATATTTGTAAAAGTAAACAAGACCGGAAAAAAAAAAAAAAATTTAAAAATTTGTGCAAAAGTGTACATTTAAACAAAATGCCAAACCACAAAAAAAAGCCTCAAAATGAATGAAAAACTCTGTATGTCAACACACACCGGCATTTAGATCCACATCACTGCATACAATCACAAATAATGGCACTAATTAAAAGCGGAAGCAGTTTGGACTAATGGAAGGCCAGCGGTTAGTGTGTGTGTGCTTATATTTGGAATGAAGCACTAGCATACTGCTTAGTGTGCAGTATATACTGCATACTATTTCTTAAACTGTGAAACAAAAATCAATATATCATGCAATATGCATTTATAATAGTTTCAAAAAGCAATTGCAAAAAGCAATTCATCACTGGAAACAGAAGATCAAGTCAAGCACATTGCATTGTGGGATACAGCAACCTCTAGTGCGCATTTTGGTTATGCGAGTATTGTACTCAAACTATGCACAGTATGCATGCTACATAATTCAAATAATACGAGAGGTATGCAATTCTGAACAGAGTTTGTTGTAAGTATAGTATGCAGTTTGACCGCTTTATCAGTAAACGACCAGCAGGCGGCGCTGTTTCTCTACAGCATTATATGCGACCAATCACAGATTGCAGTGTTGATCCAGTTCAGTCTAATCTAATTATAATTCTAGTAACACAAACACACATAATGACCTGTATTAAACTGATGCATGCCAAAATAAATAATACTGAAGTGCATGATGCATGCACGAATTTACATAAACAATTTCAAATAAAGTATGTGTACAATGACTCACTGAATCACTCGTATCCACGAGAGTAACCGCTCGTGCGTGGATGTTAGAAGGGAAAGAAAGAGACTGGTCCCCCGGCGCGTCCCAAAAACTAAGTTTCCCACCAAACTCAGAGGCCAGGGCTGGAATAATCTTATAAATAGTTCAAAAACACACGTGTGCCCAAACTCGCACTGGCAATTCCTGCGCGCGTCTCCCGTGGCTCGGCTCTCCGTGTTTAGGAGTTTTTGCACACTCGGTTCTCTCAACTGTCAAAGCGTGCAGGGGGGTAACCACACCACTACTGCCCCTCCTTCACTGGGACGTCCCAGGAGAAACACTCATGCAAGAGCTCACCGGAGACCCTCGCGCCGCGTGACGTCACCCGCAGCAGCTCAGTTTACCGGGTCACACACCGAGAAATAAAGAGAGAAAATAAAAGAGACCGGGAATTAAGCTTTAATGCTTTAATCCTTTTTGGCCAACTTACAGTAGTTCTGTAAAAAAAAAAAAAAAAAACACGCCACTTCCATATACAAATATTATTTGCTGTTAATAAATCAATAAAGGAATACGATAACGTACCTGACTGAATTTATGAATAGTCAAATGCTTGAAATTAGGTTTGTAGACAAATATGAAATGCCTAAAATGCATGCGCATGTCTTCACGATCATGAAAAAAGTTGATATATTTGTGTGTTTGTGTATAATGAAAACGATTTAATTTTATAACTCATAAAGTATTGAAAATTTGATTTCAAAAGCTTCCCAAAAATCACATCTTCTAAAATTGTATAAACTATTTTTAACAATTATTGCACGTTTTTAAACTTCATATATTGAAGTTTTGTTTTCATTAAGTGTTTCCAAAAAAAAAAAATTTTTTTACATCGTCCGTTTAAATAGTTATGAAACTTTAATTTCATTTATCATTCATATTGAATTTTATATGAACTGCTCCATATGTAATGTTCAAAGGCTTACCGAAAGTGTAATCAAAGAAAATCCCCATGCCGATATAAACACACGTTTACACACTCACCCGGTTCATACAATCACGTGATGTCGCGCTGCGCTCGAGGCCATTCGATCCACCTGTCGCGCGCTCCTCCATCGCCACCATTTCTTCTAAACTCTTCTTCTCTCTGATAACGAGCACCGTGCGGTCAAAATCTCGATGCTCCCCGTGATCCGACTGGCGAGGAATGAGATGCTTTTGGGCGTTTTTCTCCTGCTTTTTATTCCGCGCTTCCTGTGGAACTCAGGAATTGGACGGACAATCCCAGACCGGAAATCCTGCGAGTGTTTGGAGCTGATAAACCCTCTGGCTGCACAAACACTCCCCTCGCGCCCCTCGCGCCCCTCTACGGGTAATCACGTCTCTATCGGACACAAACACACTGTGGTGATCTGCTGAAACGGCGCCAATTTGGCCCTGTGATTTCAACTACTAATATTTGGAATATCCTAGGAATATTTACAAGAATATGGAAGTGAAACGGTGCAGGTCAGGTGGCACCTTCAGGAGAGATTCCTAGCTGATTTGACCCTTAAAATGACATTTGCTGATGTAGCCTGGTTGATTTACTGCCATACTGTCATGTACTACCGCTTAGGCTTTAAAAAAAAATGTAATAAAGAAAGCAATAAATTAAAGGGGTCATAATGCACAATCGGCTTGTAACACTCCAAAGAGAAAGGAAAACTTGAAATCGCATCATATGACCCCTTTAATACTTTTATTCAACAAGGACGTATTAAACTGATCGAAAAGTGGCAGTAAAGACTTTAACATTGTTACAAAAAACTAAACAACTGTAAAATATATTAAATTATTATATTATATTAAGATAAATTTAAACAAATATTTCACTATATATATATATATATATATATATATATGAAGTTTTTAGAAAAAATAAAAATTAATAATAATAATAATAATAAATAGAAAAAAAATCTTAGCCAGCAATATCTGTGGAGTATGCTAGATTTTTGTCATTATTTAAGTCATTACATAAGTCTTTCCAAAAAAAAATTAATCGCAAAAAAACTGGTATGCACTAAAAAAAATATTGATTCCTAAATTTAGATTTACGTGTTTGAATTGCATATAAAATTTGCAACAATTTGGATCACACAGTTTTAACATAAAACAAGTAATGCAAAATTGTGGCATTGTTTGGTTGACTATTTGATCTATTTCATTCTATTTAAATAATCGTATTACTCAAATTGCTTCGAAACAGCATAAATCTGTTCACTGCAAAAACAAATTTGTTTAGTTACAAAAAATGAACATGGTTCAATGCGGCTAGCTGTGGAACAAGTGATATTCAATTGCATTAGTCAATGCAATATTAAGATTTAAACTAATTGGATTTACTGATGATATATAAATCTGGTTATTGTGTATTTAAAACAAAAATCTTTCATTTATGTACGACTGACAAATACACATCACATTTATTTGTCTGTTAATATGTGTAATCTAAATGAATTTTTGTGCAGTTAAAATACTGTACATAAATCTTAAATTTAGTCCTGTGTGTGTGTGTGTACTGGTTTATATATCCTGGTGGGGACTTAAACCTGACTACACACAGACTCACGGGGACTCGTGTCACGGTGGGGACCTAAATTGTGGTCCCCACGGGTACAAAAGCTTATAAATCATACAGAATTAAGTTTTTTGAAAATCTAAAAATGCAGAAAGTTTCCTGTAAGGGGCAGGTTTAGGGGTAGGGTTGGTGTAGGGCAATAGATTATACGGTCTGTACAGTATAAAAATCATTACGCCTATGGAGAGTCCCCACAAGGATAGCTGACCAGACGTGTATGTGTGTGTGTGGCTTGATGTGACATCATTTGGATTATTTTATGGTTATATTTTGTCTTTCTTTGGAGCTCGACCACATCATTCCCTGTAAAGTCTGCTATATTTCTCCTTTTGTTTTCCACAGAAGAAAGTCAGTCATACCGGTCTGGAAGGACATGAGGGTGAGTAAATGATGACAGCTTTTCCATTTTGGGTGAACTATCTCTTTAAGTCTGCTTAATGGCTGTGGGTGGGGGTTATAAGTTATGGGTTGGTGATTTGAACCATCAGATTAAATCAGAGTATGAAAAGAGGTCTGGTGGACGTAGCATTCATGTTTCCAGTTCTAACACATTGACATTGTAATGCTTACAGGGTTTAATGAGTTTGTGATGTGTGTTCTGATGCACATACACGGTGGAGTTGAAAAGATTTTCTTAGATCCTCATATTTATTGTACGTGTTAGAGAACGAAAGAGCCTGATTCTGAATGTATTAGTCCAAATAAGTGGAGGAAATGGCTCTGCACAGCATTTCCTGTGAATCAGGAAGCAGGAAGTGTGTGGAAGAGGAAGATTGTGCTTTGGGTCACAGTGAACAATGAGAGTAAGAGCTTAAAGGAAAGAGTCCTGCGTCAGCGGGAAAGTGACGGATGGGGATTCAGAGAGTGAGAGCTGAAGAGAACGAGAGAAGACTAAATGATCTGTTCAGAGAGATCATGCCACAGATGCTGTTCATTTCACACGTTCATTTACTGTTAATTCTAAAAGCAACATGTTCATTTTTTTTCTTTTCAGATAATGCCACTTTTTTGGCTTTTGCCATTCATTTGATTGATTAATCTGTGTTTCACAACGAAACATATTTAAATGGTTTATTCAAAAACAGGAAGATGGGGAGGCAATATATAAAGTAAATATTATTGTAATGGACAATCAACTTCTCATTTCCATAATCCTGTGTGAAAATCTGTGTTTTTATTTGTGCTTTGACTGAGACATTTAGGATTTCCTATTTTAAAAATCTCAGGTTGATCAGCTTTTGTCAGAGAGTATCTATCTGTCTATCTGTCTGTCTGTCTGTTTATAGAATTTTTTTTTTTTAGCAAAGATGCATTAAATTGCATTACATTGGTCAAAAGTGACAGTGAAGACATTCATATTTTTAAAAATGTATTATTTATGATTTCTATTTTTACAAATCTTAAGTAGGTTTCTATTTCAAATAAATGTCTATTCATTAAAGAAACCTCAACAAATGGCAATTTACACAAAAATATCAAGCAGCATGAGTTTCAATATTGATAATAGTAAGAAATGTTTTTAGCAACAAATCAGCATATTAGAATGATTTCTGAAGGATCATGTGACACTGAAGACTGGAGTAATGATGCTGAAAATTCAGCTTTGATCACAGGAATAAATTACATTTTAAAATATATTCAAATAGAAAACCTTTATTTTAAATTGTAATAATATTTCATAATTTTACAGGTTTTACTGTATTGTTTGATCAAATAATTGCAGCCTTGGTGAGCAGAAGAGACTTCTTTAAAAAATGTAATGTTGAAAAAATCTTACTGACCCCAAACTTTTGAACAGCAGTATATCTATCAGTAAATGATGTTTATAGATCCTGTGCTGCATTCATATTTTAGATCTCAGTGGTGAATCATTATTATCTGACTGTATAAACTCTTTAAAATCCTCTAACTTTCAGCAGTTTTGCACATGAACCTGATGTCACACATCACCACTGGAAAAGATGATTGTGTGTGTGTGTGTGTGTGTGTGCGTGCGTGTGTGCGTGCGTATGTGTGTGTGCGTGCGTATGTGTGTGTGTGTGTGTGTGTGTGCGTATGTGTGTGATTGTTCATATGTCATTTAGATCTCAGTGGTGAATACTTATTATCTGACTGTATAAACTCTTTAAAATCCTCTAACTTTCAGCAGTTTTGCACATGAACCTGATGTCACACATCACCACTGGAAAAGACGATTGTGTGTGTGTGTGTGTGCGTGCGTGTGTGCGTATGTGTGTGTGCGTGCGTATGTGTGTGTGTGTGTGTGTGTGTGCGTATGTGTGTGATTGTCAGTGTGTGTGTGAGAGAGAGAGAGAGAGAGAGAGAGAGAGAGACAGCACATATGGTTTTACATGTGTGAGTGTGTTTGTGGAAATATGTCAAATTGGCTCATTCATTACAGCAACCAGATTTCTCAGTGGAACAGCACAGACACACACACATCTACAAATTAATGCTTCACAGAATATCTGTCAGCATTGATTTTCAGAGAGAAGTGGAGAACTTTCCTCAGTATCAGATGCTGTCGGCAATTTGCATTCATATTTAATAATTGTAGCATTACTTAATAATCTATGCATTTGCAGACACTTTTATCCAAAGCAACTCACATTGCATTCAAGGTATACATTTCATTAATTCATGCATTCCCTGGTCATCTAAACCACAACCTTTTCATTCCTATCTGTGCCAACTCTTTACTGTAAAAAGTGAAGTTTAGAATCTAAAGTCAACCAACTAAAAAAAATCTAATTCTTCCAAGGAAAATGTATCTGGTATTTGCTATCTCTATTTATTAGATGCGCTATACTCTTACAGTACTGTACATTCTCAACTATTTTTCTACCAAAGATTTTAAGGAGAAATGTCTTGAGAAATGAAATACTTTAATGAATCACAACCGAGAAATTCATTATCTAAGAGTGGCTTCTGAGTAATGTTCCTCTGGGAGAGAACATTAGAAAATGAGAGTTAGAGAGAAGAAAAGAGAAATAAACTGAGTGGAAGACAGAATGTGTCTGCTATTCCTGAACTCACATTGACTCCTGGACTTTACAGTGTTTAGACACTGAATCCCTTCAATAACACACACACACGCACGCATGCATGCACACACACACACACACGTAGTGGATAGTATGTTCACTTTTCCAGCAGTGACAAGTGTTTTTTAAACTCTCTCTCCCATTGTTTCGTTCACTTATTTAACATGCTTACTGCAGAGTTTATACTACATAGTGCCTACTAAATACACTCTAGTTCCTAGTGTGAAAATAGTATAAATATAACTACTGTTAAATATAACAGTACTCAGTATGGAAGTGTTTAGACAGTGTTTACACAGTAATTATGAAGCAGCACAACTGTTTTTAACAGTAATAATAATAATAAATGTTTCAAATCAGCATATCAGAATGATTTCTGAAGGATCATGTGACACTGAAGACTGGAGTAATGATGCTGAAAATTCAGCTTTGCATCACAGGAATAAATTACATTTTAAAATATATTCAATAGAAAACAGTTATTTTAAATTGCAAAAATATTTCATAATTTTAAAGGTTTTACTGTATATTTTAATCAAATAAATGCAGCCTTGGTGAGCACAGGAGACCAAAAAAAAAAGTCCTACTGACTCCGCTTTACAGTGGTAGTGCACATATTTTTTTCATATATAATAGTTAGTGTGTCATTCCAGACATGTGTTTGGAGTTTGGCTGCTCAGTTTTCATTCAGGCATGTTATTGCAGCTCAGGTGCTGACACAGCGAATCAGAGGTCATGCTTTTCATCTCAATGCTAATTCTCACAGATGATTGGCTGTCTGCGCTGTTATGAGTTCCATAAGGAACCAATCAGAGGTTCATTAGTATTCATATGCAAATACCTGCTTGACCACTTGTAATGTCATGCATTTTAATTCAGTTAAACAACTGATCTGT